GCTTAGAACAAAACTCCCTATCTTGCACACTATTGACTAAAAATTAAACAAAAACAGAGCCAATATCTGTGTGCAAAAGAAAAGGTTTGTTTTAGGTTTCTTCCTGTTTTCCAAGGGTTTTGACGGTGCCCAAGAGGTGTCTTACCAATAAACCTTACTATTATTATTATTTCCTTAACAAAGAATCTTGAGAACTTAAAAATCACTTGAGACGTTTTTGCTTGGTGATCATTACTTCAGTCAAAAATCATTGGCCTGTTCATTACTTCAGGTGTGGTTTGCACTTGCTGCGTCCTGGTAGCTTGTTGCGTTTCCATTTGTTGGATATGGTTTTAACTGCAGCCATAAACTCTGTTTCATTTGCTTTGTGTTGCACCTGCGCCCTCAACCACACAATCTATTGCAAAAATGTCGTTACGAAGCATAATTTTTTTCTGGATTTTTAAACGAAGTTATTTGCCAAATTAACTGTGAAATTATTCTCTTTTGGGGCTTCCGGTGCGCAAACTTGTTCCCGATGCTCTCAGTGTTTAAACCTATAAATTGCGTGTTCGAAGCATTTTCACATGACGGCCTTTATACCCGCTCTTTTCGCCTAAGGGATGGCATTGGTGTCGCGCGAGTTCAGGGGCGTTGAAGTGGGCGAGACCCGCTTAAGTCAACCTGTAGGAATCCAACATTCGTTTTCCTCTCCGAAAACCCTTAAAGTTTCCGCTGACCAACTCTTTGAGTTAAGGAACACCCTCCAGAAAAGTCTTTTGATGATTAGAGAACTTGAAGTACAAGTCAGAAGAATTCCGAAACTAAGGACAATTATAGAAAGCCAAAATAAAATCATATATAAACTCTTCAAAGTCAACAGAAATATTAATGCTCGTCTTACTTTTTTCAATTTGCACAGAAGCCGTAATTATGTGAATTATCCTGGGCTATTCACTACCGAAATTAAACCAATAAGGAGAAAGTCAACTTTTCAAAAGAAACTGAATTTGAAACCATTTGATGGTAGCTTTCCAATTTTGCTGCGTATTGTGTAGTTATTCACGAAGTTTTATTACCATTCGAAAAGCGTAAAAGAAAGTACGGGTCAACTTTTTCGAAAGAGCAATGCATCTGCGAAAAAATGAAGTTCTCATTTTTACGTCATAAACCTGAGTGGCAACTTAAAAGCGTCTCTCTGCCACATGAATTAGAAGAGATTGGTTTCCAAACTAGCCAATTTTGCATGCATTCAATGGTGGCTACTAGAGTTGAAACAATAGCAGAAGACGGCGCAGTTAATTTTGAAACCATTTGTTTAAATATTCGCGCCAAGGCAAACAGTATTCGTGCGAAAACGGAGGAAAACCAAAGCTGCCAGTTATTTCAAGATTCTAGTAGTGTTTTTATTTATGAGATAATACTTGAAAGGCAGCTTACGAAAGTGTAATTGGCCACTCCATGGAACACAAATGAACGGCAAAATGACCGCTCGAATACTCAAAAGGAGGGAGCGAATAAACTGCAAACATCTATCGCTTCTCAGTCGACATGCAATATTCCTTTTGTCTGCTACAACCGTATTTTCATCCAGAGTCTCCAGAAGACACACATTTAACATCGATGACCACCTAGTTGGTCAAGCGGCCTGCGGCGATACTGATAAATTCGACCTCAACACAAGGCCTTTCACCAAGACGAGGTAGGTTATCAGTTTTTCCTGTAGAATGAATGTCAGCTGTAAATCTCTTAAATATCCTCTAGAATATCGGAATGATTTTCGAGTAAGCCATTTCCACCCGTGATTCT